GGGGTCGCACCACCACCACCTGCAGGGCTCAGTCTCTTTTCTAAATTAGTAAAGAACATCTTATGGGAGAGACATTTAATGTCAGGCTCCTAGGTTGATCCCCCAGAGCAGATTGGCTGTGTTGTAGCTTGTCAACCCCACCCCAGACTCACCCCAGGCCTCTCTGCATTTGTACATGTGGAGCTAGACTGCTTGGGTCTCTCAGGACCCAGCCTGCTGGGTCAGCCTTTGAGTCTGTGATTCATTCTGAACCCAGGGCGAGTATTAGACCTTGAAGGTCTTTCTGTACCTTTTCATAATGGTTCTCTTGGGTTTGCTTATCCTGCTCATCTCTGATTCTGGCCTGAAAGAACTGGGCCACAGTCTGATGATCAAAGCAACTGGTGCAAGACAATTGCTTTCATTTGCTGTTTGCTTCGAATCAGGATGACTACTTGCCTTTGTAATTAAGCTTCTTTAAGCACAGGATTAAAAACTCACAGGTATCAGGGCCCTTAAAATCACCAGTCCTTCTCAATCTGTCTCAAGACTCCCTTTCTATAAAAAATATATACCCTCTTTACTATCCTGAAATGAAACTCATAAATAATATAAGCTACCTTTGATTTTTAAAAAATTGTTATAATATCCATATTATATCTATTATGTTAAAAATAATTTATTAGAAATAATATATACTGCAATATATAAATGTCTGGGTACAACCCCACTAGAGATATCATGAAGTCAGAAGCCTACACCTATGATTCGATGTATGCAACTGCAGCAGCTCCAAATGCATGTGGGTGCAAGACTATTGTACTGCTAACTCATATACCATGAGCAGTGTTGATTTACTAAAATGAGTTCCAAAAGAATATAAACAACTCTTGATTAGATAATAATAATGTAAACCCAGCAAATGTCACTCCTAAGTACGTGCCCAGAGAAATGGAAAGATATGTCCACACAGAGACTTGAACAGGAATGCTCATAGTAGCATTAGTCATAGCAGCCAAACATGGAAACAATCAAAATGTCTACCAACTGGTGATGGATTTTTTTATAAAAAAAAGTGGAATACTGCAATGGAATACCATTCAGCAATAAAAGGAAACTAATGAACCGGGGCATGATGTTGATGATTCTCAAAGAAGATTATGCTAAGTAAAAGAAGGGAAACACAGAAGACTATATATTGTATGACTCTACTTATGTGAAATTTCTAGAAAAGCCAAATCTGTAGAGACAGCAGATCAGTGATTGCCTGGGGCTGGAGGTGGGAATGGGAATTGATGGTAAACAGGCACAGGGGAACTGTGAGGAGTGATGGGAATGCTGTGAAACTGCACAGTGGTGATGGTTGCTCAACTTAGCAAATTACTAAATTCAATGAAGTGATTGAACACTTATTGATAATGCTTTAAAAATGAGTGAATTTTAGAGTATGTCAATCACAACTCAATAAAACTATTTTAAAAAGATGTATTTTACCCTTGATTTGCCCTTTTATTATGTACCTAGGTGGTTTATAGATTCACTGACTAGTTACTCCAAACTCATGGTTTAATACTCAGAAGGAGTATGTGAAGTGGGGGCCCTTGGGAAATCCAGAATGTATGGTTTGGGTTTTATTTGGAATACAGTGACATTGTTCATCAAAGCTTCTGGTATTCACATGCTGACTAGTAGGTACCAAAACAGACCATTGTCGTGCAAGGGCCACTTCTTCATTCTTCTAAACATAATGTTCTCAAAACCAGACACCCTTTCTTTCCTCCCAAGTTCTGTTCTATATCCTGAGTAGCCAGCACCCTGGATGATGAGCTCTGCTCTGAGCTTAAAATACTACCAATTACACCCTACCCGGTTTGGCTCAGTGGATAGAGCGTCGGCCTGTGGACTCAAGGGTCCCAGGTTCGATTCCGGTCAAGGGCATGTACCTTGGTTGCAGGCACATACCCAGTGGGAGTGTGCAGAAGGCAGCTGATTGATGTTTCTCTCTCATCAATGTTTCTAACTCTCTATACCTCTCCCTTCCTCTCTCTAAAAAATCAATAAAATATATTTAAAAATAAAATACTACCAATTATAATTAGAGCCATCTTTCTTTTTGTTCTTCAAATGCTGGGCCAGAAACATCCCCACTTCCTACCAGGTTAAAGTGATCACAAAGTCTCTTTGAATAGTTCTCTTTCCTGGAGAATAGGAAGGGAAAGAAGCAACCCAGACCAGATGGATCTAAATTGAACACACTTTTCTTGGCACTTAATTTTCCTTACACAGAGTGCAAAAGACATTGGCAGTCTCCTGGGAATACTTGCTAAGCAATGCCTGGAGTTGTAACCATTCGACAGCCATTAACCATATTGAGCCTCACAGGGCTTAGATCCCCACCCACCACCGAGGAACACAATCAGAAACTACCATTTACCCTGGGAAAATGTCCTGTAAGTAGCACCAACCAATCTTCCCCAATAAAAGAAGAACGTAAACATTGCTGACAACCATGCTTTCCAGAGCTTCAATCTGAAGATGCAGAGGTGAAGGAAGAGAAATATCCAAGATAGCCCCTGGAAGCAAACTTTTCCACCAGCATTCATGGATCAAAGGCGCATCAACAGGAGGTGGCATTATCACATTGTTTCTTCTTCATGTCTCATATCCAGTCGGTTGTCAGGTCAAGTCTACTCAGTGATGGGTCTTACATCCCTCCCAATTTTTGCATCTCTACTGCCTATTTCCTGGTTCAACAAAGTGTATTGGAACCTTTGGGGCTTTGTGCACAAA